ACAATCCAAGTTACACGTCAAATTTTTGGCAAGCCAAGGTAAATGTGTCACTGAAAATGAATAGGCACGTGGACCTGATGCTGTAATGGCAGGCTTCCACGGGAAGTGTGAGCTTCCACAATTCAACGGTAAATGTGAGGTTCAGGTTTGTGTTTTCGACAGAGCACATCGTTTCAGGAATCCCCAACAGGGGGTCGTATTTGGTCGCTGGGAGAGGGGTCGTATTTGGGCTGAGAAAATTTTTTTGATAGTTGATTTTTCTTGTTTCAGGGACGTTGTAAAGGGAGGGGGGGGTCGAGTTTTCCTCAAGACCTGAGAGAGGTTGCAGAGCTTTCGTGGTTTTTCCTGTTTCATGTATACCATTACCATCCCCCTCCCGCTCGACAGCTCGATGAGGAGTGAATCATGGCGAGTTGCACCAACCTCTAAAAAGAAACGGGGGTCGTAGTCGACAAAAATCCCCAACTAATAGTGTGCCCTGGTTCTTGAGAGAGGAGAGCGTTTTGCTTCTGATTTAAAGGCAGTTGGCTCGATAAATCTCCAAAACGAGTAGGGTCAATACGCCTGGCAGGACGGAATTCCGCGACCCTGAGCAGGCGCTGCGTAGCGCCTTTTCCAGGGAAGGTACCCTTATAAGGCCCTATCAAGCTACAACATACCGACCCGAACGCCCACCACGCCCGCCCGCCCACAAATGGACGACCGTACCTGATGCTCATTCGCTAAGTAAAATATGAAGCGAAGGGATTGGTATGAAGCGGCTGCGGTGCTGCATGGATATATGAGTACATACATGCAGCCGTACCTACCGTAGCGGTTATTGGCAGGGTGCCTACGGAAACTCGTCCGAAATTGCTTTCTAAGAACGAAGGCTTTTCTTCGCAGTTGTCAACCGTTTCACCTGCTTTTTTTCGACATTTTTCTTTTATATAGCGCCTTGCTAGCAGTTTAGCACTGAGTACCATATTATCGTGCTGTTTCAAACCACACCAATATAAGAACTATTGCCCTCTCTTCAGTTATGGCAAGAAATTGACTGTTACCTCCCCCTTCCCTCGCATGGCTCTGCAGCTGATATTATCGCTTTGCGGTGTGTCAAGAGGTGAGTGCATGAGTTCTAGTCTATGCGTTTACCATGATTGTTTTCTTCTCGGCTCCTTAACGAACGCTATGGGTAAGAAAAGGCAGCTGGAGGGATTCTGTCTTATCTGGCCTCCTCTCGACAATCGGCCCCGAGTGATGTATACGTGACGATGTCGCCCTTTTGTCACTGCTTCAAAGGCAGCGTGGCACGAGTATTTCCTAATTAGCCTATAAATCGCTAGTAAGGCGCTGGGAGTGTGGGGTAAATGGGCGAAAGAACGGATGTGAACGGTCAATAATTCCTGCCCCCCAAAGAAAAGCCCTCCGTTACTCATGCGACTTGTATGTAATCAATTTGAGATCGAGTTTCACCGGTAGGCATTACCAATCACCGGCTAGCGAAGATTATGGCTGCCGCTTGTACGGTGCCCACCCATGATATGCATGCAGCATCAGCGGCACGCTGTCCCATACCAATTGTCTTCTCTTCATAATTGCCAGCAAATGATGATAGAGCCTTCAGGAACAGTCCGTTCATTTGTGGCGGGTGCGGGGGGCGTAGCGCGCGTTCCTGGGACGTGGAAGTTTGTGGCATGATTAGTGCCCTTATAAGGGCCCACTTCCCGGGCGAAACCACTATGCAGCGCCCCCAGGGATCAGCCGGAGTTCGTATCCTGCAGGAGTGTTTGATCCTAGTTCGTCTTTGTGAGGATTTATGGCGTGCCAACTGCTCTTTTAGCCATAATCGTTTCGGTGTCAATTCTTGGTCCTTCAGTTTGGGCGGAGATAGTCCATCATTGTTATATCAATTTCATCGGTGCACCTCCTAGCACGTTTAATAGGATAGGTGCACCGTGAAGAGGGCCTGGCCGCTAACTGTCCCCGCCCATACGGTGAGCACGGAACCCTGCCTTTGAGCAAGCGAATTCCTTCCCATTGTCGTCTTCCTTTGTCGTAGCGTGTCGTTTTTGTCGGTTGCTCGTCCATCGATTTTTTTGAAACATTTCATTAATTACAACGTAATACCTCAAAATTACATAATGCATGCAAATATTACCACAAGAATGTTGAGTTATGGGCAACGTTGCAGGCGCATGCTAATACCTGAGACAACCGTCCACTACTCAGCATTTTTATGGTAAGCTTATGAGCTATAATCAGTACAAGTGCACGATAGGATACTCTGAAAGCTTAGATTTTGATTTGAGAAAGAGTCACTGAGATAAGCACAATCACGGGAAATGGCTCAGTAGTGATCGCACATGAGCAGTATCTTACAAACATAAGTGAAATTCTATGACGAAATCTCCTTCATACATCTCGTATAATACCGGCATCGAACGCAGTGGGCAAGCTACGAAAATCCCATCTGACTACCTAACTAGTACACACAATATTACCGCGGCTACCGTAATCCAAAACGGATGCGGTATCCTGGCAGAGTTTGGCTGTGTTCGATAGCCTTCTTCAGAGCAAAGACGACTAGTCGTATTGGTGAAGGTGAACCGTCGATCCTGTGTTAGTGATGGTGGTAACCGGATTTCCACGCATCGACGGATATCGTAACACTTCGTTCGGGTCGAGACCGCTCACAGTAAGACGCTTCTTTTCGCCCGCCTGAATATAACAAATGAAATACAGTTAATATCGTCGGAACCAGTCGGGGCAGCATTAAAAGGCATGAATAGACCCCCTCCCCGGCGTCTTCACCACTAGTCGTTTGCTCCCTAGAACGATCACGAATCGATCATTATTGATAAAGAGAGACAGCCGGAGAGAGGCTACTTCCGCCCCTTGTGGCACCGCCCCGCCCCGACTGGTTGCGACGACGTCAGCTATGAAAGTAACTTTTCAGGACTATTTCCGGATTTATCTGTTTACTGAGGAGAAGGAAGCAAACTGGGGCAATGGTGCTTTGTCAGTTTCAGGAAAGTTGCCCAGCATTCACATATAAGAGGCCGAACTACTACCGGGAGGAAATTTCTCAACAAGTTTACTCCAGGTACGGTCACGATCCCTGCAAACGATAGGGCGTGGCGCTGCAGAGGCGGACTTTTCAGCGATGATGAGAATCTTGCTGAGGCGGACTTTTCAGCGATGATGAGAAGCCTGACTTTGCAGTAACTGGCCGAAAGGGCCCTTTTGGTTGCAGTACGACTCAGGCCCCTTCCCGCCTTCAGTACTCTTACAAACGCTGAAGAAAATCGAACCTAAATTTCGAGGAGTGGGGCAATAATAGGTACACTCGAAATCCTTGAGATATGGTGGGCGTGGCGGCGAATTTCCACTAAATGGCGCGTGACGGTGTCCTTAGACAGACATTTTCATTTTGACACGTGGTCGTGTCTCTGTTACAAAAAACAAGATGACAGTTGTCTCAAATTGAAATATCCTACGAGTAACCCATTCGGTGCTATGTTCAAATGCCACGCCTACTCCGTCTCAGGGATAAGCAGTGTAGAGGGTAGCATCCAGTCGTTTTTAAAATGAACTCACTGCAATTGAGAGAACTCGAACATCGACAGGAACTGAAGTTCGTTGTACTGATGTGGTCAACTCGATCTGCGACTGGGTTGGAAATGGAAAGCTGTCTCCAGCCTGAAACCGAAAGGCGAATTGCATGTCATTGCTGTTATTATTGTACAAATTTTCAATACAAACCTTTATCCAGTAATCGATGCTATTGTTTGATGCTCTTGGCGATGAGCCAAGAATAAACTGATCTGCACAAGCTTCGGTGAGATCGTTTTCGCAGAGAATGTCCAGTCTGAACTGAGTTGGTTTCAGTAAGCAACTGCACAACGAGGCCTACTATTCAAAGCTGAGTGAGAAGCAGTTACATAAGAATTAACTTAAATTCTACTAAAAGTGTTACTGTTACAGCGAGACAGGAGCGGAAGGCAGGGTCTGTGGAACCAAGAATCGAATCAAGTCGAAGCCAGCTTCCCTCGAGATCGGACTCAAATGGAAAAATTGAAGCATTGACTTAGTTATCTCCTGTCCCGTGCAGTACTAGTGGATGGAAATAATCGCAATCGAGTGCCTTTACGGTCCTGAATGGTGCGTGGCGCATGCTCCTTACACTCTTCTTCTCGACTGTAAGCAAAATAAATGGAAGGAGGTAAACTCAAAAGGGCGCGGTTCACCTCAAGGAGGTGGGGGTTGGGCCCCTTCGCCAATTTCTATCGTCGGTTTTTATCAGTATTGACATATTAATGATATCATACGCCCTTTGTCCCGGTTCCATTCACACTCTCCATCTTAGCATGAAATCTCCTCTAGGGTCAAGAAAATTTTAGAATTTTTAATCGGAAAAAGCCCTGCATGCATACCTAGAGCAGCTCCCATGCATCTTTTGATTTCTTGTAAAGACGAAATTTGTTATGGGAAAATAAGCTTTCAAATATTTCTAACCGACATGTCTGGCATCCATTGCTCATTGTGTAGCAGATCACGTACCAATCTGGTATTGGAATCGAGCCTAAAATTGAAAATCTTCTTCGCTGTCACTTCATTGTGGTACTAAAGTATTCATGTAGATTTGTAGCACTCGATCTCGATCGTAGTCCAAATTCGTAGGACTTTCTTCTTTTCTAGTCACGGTTGAACTGTGATTAAACCGTGACTAGAGAATCTACTGGCTAGGGTTGCCCTGGGATCTAGCGCTTTGTTCTATAAGTGGCCGCAAACTATGGCACAAAAGACCAATGTGACAAATCTGCAACGTTCAGCTCAGTTGTGAAACCCGTGCGTGATACGATGCACTTTCGCCACCATCCATTCGTTATAGGTGTGAGTTTGCGGGTGTGATGATTGACGTATGGGAATCTCTATGAATAATGTGATTTCAGAAGTCTAGTTTCCTGACCCGCGATGATAAATCTGAAAGGCAGCGATTGGTGCAGGGACACAGGCGTTCGATGGGGATTCCCTATGGGGGGGGGGTCGTATGAGGCCGCCAAAAAGGGGGGTCGTATTTGGGCTGGGAAAAATTTTTTTATAGTTGATTTTTCTCGCTTTGCGGACGTTTTGGAGGGGGGGGGGGTCGTACCCACTCGTAATGCTTGTGGCCTGGATTGTGTGTTGAATTCAATTAAGGCCTGAAGGCGTTTTTAGTCAGTGAATATAATTTCGTCAAGCTGAGAAGGGGGGGGGATGGTCCTAGTGGCGCAAGCGAAAAGCACAACCCGGAAAGCGTATGATGCGGGATCAAGTCCCATCTGGGGTCATGACTTTTGCATACTATTCAGCTTTGTTGTAATGAGATTGAGAGCCTCTCTCAGTCAGGCTTGAGAAAAGATAATTATACTCGTTTTCTTTTTTTTCTTGTACTGATAAGTCGCGGTACAGCAAACGAAAAAGGTAACTGTAATAGCCCTTATTTCCACCCATTTATTTCCCCCGCTCACCAAAGTGATTCTCTTCTCACGAAACATCCCGCAAAGGCACCGGTCACAGTATGTGACCTTGGAGAAACGCGAGACGGGCTCGATAGGTACCAGTTAGGTTAACTCTGTCCTTTTCAGGGAAACGAGGATTCTCATGAGGATTCTCTTGTCTAAAAGAGGGATTCTCTGGTATAAAAGGCCTCCTTTCTTTGACAGAACCTTACGTTCAAAATGTTACGGGAGAGCTTTTCAAGAAAATGGTGGTCCTCGGCTAAGAAAGGGAACCTGCCTTCTCAGTAGATGTGAACTGATCTAATGTAGGGGTCTAGATTCAAATTTAAAATAAGTGTAAAATCAGTTACAACGTATATGTGCTAAAATAAATGAAATATTGATGAACTGAGTGAGGCAATGATCGAGTTCAATGCCGGTTTGTCAGTAGAGCAATATTTGCTGGAGACCCCAAAAGCAGCTAAAAAACTGGTGACAGCAGAGTCTTTTTTGTTTTTCAAAAGTAAGTTCTACTGCTACAAAGCTCCTGCCTCAGAGCAGGGCCAAGAAG